GTTAACCCTAGAGGTGCATGTGTGCAAAGTGTTTTGTTTTCATGTATTTTTGTCTTTGAATTAGGATTTTGCTAAGTTTGATTTTAAGTCTTGTCATGCAAATCCTAATCACTAACAAATAAGGAAAGTGGAAAATTACGCAATCTAAATGTCCTACGCTATTACAACGCTTTGGGAATAGGGGTACAAGTTTGCGAATATGGGGAGAAAAGCAATAAAGCCCTAATTACTATTACAAACCATTGAATATGAATAATAATAGAATGTACAAAGATGCAAGAATGAAGAGGAAAAAGAAATTGTCTTTGTGTGATTTTTTGATGGAGAAAAAGGTTTTATAGTTAGACTAATTAATTTTATTTACAAAAGAAATTAATTGATTGTCTTAAATAAAACCTAAGATCTAAGTTAATTAAATTTAAGAAGGAAATAAAACTTAAGTTTAAGTAATTTGTTTAGAAAATAATTTGAATGTTAATACTAATTTGTAAAAGAGAACAATAAAATTTAATTTAATAAAATAAAATAAAATACCTAAATTAAAAAAAATTTAATTTAATTAAGAAAAATATATTTTTGGTGTTTTTTGGTTTTAATAAACTGAATAGATAAGTAAATATAATTAAAATATAAAAAATAAATGGGCTGGGTGTTAAAAGGAAAGATGGGAGTTAAAAGTAGCAAAAAACCCAAGCATGGCTTTTTTGTTTGAGATCAGGAAAAAAAAGTATAAATGGACTTGTATTTGAAAAGTAAAATGGGGGTGCAAAAATAACAAAATGCCAAGCCTAACTCAGCAAGGCCCTAGGCACTGCATGATTTCCTGTGATCAGCTCCTGATGGCTCGTGGTGGGCAAGCATACTTGAGACATTGGATTTCTTGGCATAGTGATCCGATGGCATGGATGAGAGGCGCATGATGCGCGCACATGCTTGGATTGCACATAATCTGAAATAAGAAAATTAGTGAAAAACAAAAGAATACCACTGAGGCTCGAACCTAGGTCTCTATAGATCAATGCCTTACGCGCGCTTCCTCTGCCACTGGGGTGGCTATTTCATCCGTTTATAGAATAAGTTGCAATAAGCTTAAAGTAAACCCAGTCCTGATTATAACTTCATCCCTAACCTCGTGTCAGAAGTCATTGACAAGATTTTTGAATTTCTGTTCTTGCTCATTTCTCAACCATTTGCAAAAGTTTAAACATGAAACTTGCTCCATTTTTCAATACGAATTCAACCATGTAAACAACATAAACTATAAATCAAAGATGAACCTTAATTTCTATTGGTACCAAATAAAACCTAATTTTTTCAGAAATTTCAAACTCAAAATTCGCATCACTCGGGTAACATAAATGAAAATTAAAGGCATGGTTAGCTTCAGAGCTATGATGTCTACATTTTTTACTCATAAAGTAACCATTAATGATGCTTGTAGAGAGAGTTCAAAGTTAAGAAAACTTACCTCAAAACTGAAAATCATGTATAGAGTTTGAGCAACCCTGGAAGTATGTTAATGATCTGGATAGCTTCACTGGACTCCTAGGAAGCTAATGCAACTCTTACTTTGTGCCGAGAGTGGCATAATCTTCTTGGAGAAGTCAATTTGCAGAGCTGGGTTTTTGAGTTTGGAGGATGATGAAGATGGAGTTACAGTTATGAAACAGGGGTGGGGATGAGTTCTAAATGATGTACGGAAGCTTTGTGATTGATTTAGAGAGGAAACACACTAGTGGATTGTGAGTTTGAAGTTTTTGGCCAGAAGTTGCAACAATGGAGGTTTGTGTGAAAGTTCAGAGTTTCATGTAATTTAAGGGAGTGTTAGGGATTGAAGAATCGTGGGTTAGGTTGCATATAACTCCTCTATTTGTAGAGGAAAGGTTTGGAAGCTTGAAATAATCAGAATCAAGAGATCACATGTTATGGTCATGTGACTTGATTTTGAAGCAAGCTTGAAATATCTTGTTCCAATGCATAGAAAAAAGACTCCTAGGGTGATTAACCGGTTGTAGATGTTTGCTTCTTCACTTTACAATGGAGTGTGATCAGAGGGAACAAGTGCAAAGCTCAAAGAGAGTGGACTTTGTGATTAATGTTGGCTTTTCCAAAATGATAATGTTACCTTTGTGCCAAAAAATGGATTAATCACTTGGGCAATGGCTCAAATGCTTAGACAATGGCTCAATCAGTTGTGTAAACATTTAATTATTGAGTGATTTTCAAGTTAGAAGCCCTGCAAAGTAAGATTATGCAGCATGCTTGAAGATTGGATCAAGTGTTCTTCATGAAAATGACCTATAATTCAAGAATGGATGCCCAACATCTTCTCTTCGAAACTTCTAGCTCAGGCATGATCTCTTCAAGTTCTTAGACATTTTGGAAATCTTGAAATATTGTCTACAAGCTTCATGTTGACCACTTTGGCTAAATCAACTTGGAACTTGGTGAAAAATTGCCAAGAAGTTGGGACAAAAAATCTGCCTTACTTGATGAAAATTTCACTAAGTGTTTATACAAAAATGTCATGACTTCATGAGCCTATATCATCAAATCTAAGCATTTTTTGGACATTAACCCTGAGGGACAAAGTTGTAGAATTCATCAATATCTACAACTTTCATGTTTACAGTTTTCCTTGAATCATCTTGCATCATGGTGAAAAATTGTCATGAAGTAGTGAAATTATCAAGGTTAAAAAACACTTAGAATTTTCTAAGTCTTGAAAATATTGAATTTTTGTTGACTTTCTTGATTCTTGATGATCAAGTTTGATATTTTTTAATGTATTGAGAATCTTGATATTTGAAATTCAATGTTGATCAAAAAGTCAAAGTTTGACTTTTTATGTATCAGTTGACTTTTCATCAGTTGATCAAATTTCAACTATCAATCCATTGATCTTGAGAAATGATTTGAGCCATGAAATCAGGTGAACATTTTGTGTTTGAATCCTTGAGATCATGTTTTAAGCCATTAAGTCATGTACTAGGTCAAAAGTCATTGATCAGCCATTCTCAATCAAAACCCTAATTTTGACATTTTTGCCCCTTTGATGATTTGAATGCTTTTCTTGAGGAATTATGATTAACCCTTGATCAATTGATGAATATGACTTCAAAATGTTGATGTTGGCCAAAAATCATGAAGTTTAACTGTATGTTGACCACATTTGACTTTTTACCCAATATAGTTGATTTTCAATCATCTGAGCAAATGTATGGTGCAAGACTTGAAACTTGGTATGAGAATTCTTGAAGACCTATAATGAACCATGAAAGTCACTTGAGGCATTAAAAGTCAAATTATCCTTGAGAAAACCAAAACCCTAATTTAGACCCAATGCTTAGGAGGTGGCCTTGTCTGATCAACTCTTGAGACTCTTTGAGCATTTGAGAACTTTTTTGTGAGAAATGTCTTGAGAAAAGAGAGGGGAAATTTTGGGATACAACAACTTCCCATGTTAAATCTTCTTAAACCTGAAGAGTTAAATTGACTTGTCCACCATTAGTGACTTGAAGGTAGAAGATGATTGAACACTTAAGTGCCCAGAAATTTGCAGTTGCTTGTGCACGAAGTAATGTTGTGGGTTGATTATACCGGGAATTGGCTTAAAGATGCCATTTCGATAGGAAATGAAGAGCTGTCGGAGATGGGCTTATAGATGCCATCCAAAGTAACTGTTGAGAGAAATTAGAATGAGTCTAAGCTCGTGTTTAACTGGGAGAAGTATCAGAATAAATCTTTGGTCGATTTAATCTAAGCTAAAAAAAGTATCTACTGGAAGAAGTATCAGTATAAATCTTTGGTTGATTTAAACTGAGCTAGAAGATGTATGTGTCCGTCTTTAATTAGAAAAGAATCAAAATAAATCTTTAGTCGATTTAAGAAGTGCCTACTGGAAAAGCATCAGAATAAATCTTTGGTCAATTTAAACTAAACCATCAGATGTCTTGTGTCGTCTTTAACTGGAAAAGAATCAGAATAAGTTTTTGGTTGATTTAAACTGAACCAAAAAAAGTGCCTACTGGAAAAGTATCAGAATAAATCTTTGGTCGATTTAAACTGAACCGACAGATGTCTTGTGTCGTCTTTAACTAGAAAAGAATCAGAATAAATCTTTAGTTGATTTAAACTAAACCAGAAAAAGTGTCTACTGGAAAAGTGTCAGAATAAATCTTTGGTCAATTTAAACTAAACCAGCAGATGTCTTGTGTCGTCTTTAACTGGAAAAGAATCAGAATAAATCTTTAGTTTATTTAAACTGAACCAGAAAAAGTGCCTACTGGAAAAGTATCAGAATCAATCTTTGGTCAATTTAAACTGAACCAAGAGATGTCTTGTGTCGTCTTTAATTGGAAAAGAATCAGAATAAATCTTTAGTTGATTTAAACTAAACCAAAAAAAGTGTCTACTGGAAAAGTATTAGAATAAATTTTTGGTCGATTTAAACTGAATCAGAAGATGTCTCTGTTGTCTTTATCTGAAAAAGAATCAAAATAAATATTTAGTTGATTTAAATTGAACTAGAAAAAGTATCTACGGGAAAAGCATCAGAATAAATCTTTGGTCGATTTAATCTAAGCCAACAAAGGTCTATGCTTGATTGTATCTGAAAAATATATTAGAATGAGTCTATGCCCGACTGTATCTAAAAGTGGATCAAAATGAGCCTTCGCCTGACTGTATCTGAACCATGCTTTTCAGGATGAAACTCTGGGAAAGGTGTTTGAGTAGCTACTCGTCATGTAGATAGTCGCCCCGTCCTGTTTTGAGATTTGATCTACAATCTTCTTTGTTGGTAAGACCATAGGTGATAAAATAAGTGCCCCGTCCTGTTCCGAGAATTGATCTTTATCTGACCAAAGAGAAAGAAAGATAGTTTCTCCGTCCTATTTCGGGAGTCAATCTTCGATTTGTTCGTGTAGATAATCACCCCGTCTTGTTTCGGGAATTGATCTACAGTCAGTTTGTCGGTAAACCCGTCTTGTTCCAGGAGTTCATACCGTTGGTGATAAAGATAGTTGCTCCGTCCTGTTTTGGGAATTGATCTTCATCAGTTTTGTTCTATTGGTGATAAAGATAGTCGCCCCGTCCTGTTCTAACACAATATTGTAATTTTAAAATAGAAATAATAAAAACTTAGTTAGTGTTGGACACCCGGTCAATTTGGGTTAGACTCGGTACCAATATGTCAAACTGATTAAAACCATGGATGAATTTGTTAGGCTCAATTCTGACTAAAACTTTAATAGATTATCTCAACAATGTTCAATGTAAAAAAGATTGCAAAATTTATTTTAAGTGGTACCTTCAACTCAAATAACTTCATATTCCTTACAAGTTGCTCTGCATTTATACCCTCGCGGGCAAGAAGCCTATACATGTACATGAAAAAGAAAATCATTACGCTAATTTCCTAAAAGCTTCAGAGAATTCAAGCAACTTCTACTTTAAGAAAATGACGGAAGACAATGTATTAGGGCATGTAACAATGATATCTACATACTTTATTTAGAATTTATAAAACAAAAGTAACGCCCTTATTGAGAGAAGAAAAAATCATTTAAAAGAACAAATAAATATCATTATTAAAGAAAATAAAAACTCTCAAACAGCTCAAAGCAATCAAACTTTGAACTAATAAAAAATAATTTAAGAATTTTTCAAAAATTCTAAATTCTAAATGATAGAATAATTTAGACAAAATAAGAAATTGGAACAAAAGAGTACCTAGTTGCAGCAATGAAGTGTGAAGGTGCCTCAGCCCTAACTATCTTGGATTTAAGCTTCTTTGATAATGTTTCGAGTTGATCCAAATTCCTCTAAACAATGTATGAAAGTGAATTCAAAATCTCATATCCCAAAATCCTATAGTTAATCAAAATCTATTTCAATTTCATCAACCAGTGAAAATTCTAACTAACATGAAGTACAATATATTCATTAATTTAACTCAAATGGAAGGTACTCATGGTTCAAAATTAAAATACATTACGCTTAACCTATACATGGATTATATTTTATTATTTCTGCAATGAAAGTTGATTTCTGCAATGAAACTAAATCTATTTCAAACGTTGCTCAATAACCAGATGAACATGAAAACCGATTTCTGCAACGAAATAAAACCAACCATTGAAATGACTTACCTCAAATCAAGTCAAACAACTATGAAGATGGAAGAAACATAAAAATACACAAAAATAGAAACAACAAAGAAAATGAAAAGGAAGCATACATGGTTTAACCCACTTTGTCGAAACTTGTGGCGGTAGACTTTCGCTTCTTTTTTCGACGGAGAACGAAGGGTTCTTCAGTTAAGTCGGTGACAAAGATTGAAGAATGAGAAGAGAATGGTTGATTGGAATTTTAGTTTTCGGCAGATATCAAAAACTTATTCGATTGGGTCGGTTAAGAAGATTGATGAAAGGAAGAAGAAGAAAGACGAGGGAGGATTTATGTCTGAAAAATGAGAGAGGTAAAAGAGAAGGTGTTATGTGTGAGAGAGATACAGAGAGATGTTGTATGAAATGAAATAGGGTTTTGTTACCTGGGTTAAAGCATATCTCAAATTTGAAAGAGAGTTTCAAAAAACTTCCGCCACTTGACAATATGGGTTGTTCTTATTGGACAATAAGTTATTATTTAGTCAATTACATAAAAGGGTTTTTTATAGTGTAAATATTATATCTGTTAAAGAATAAATTAAGGAGTTCAGTAGCATTTTTCAATTTTAGATTGATAGTTGATGTCAGATACAAAACATGTAATTAATTAAAATCATTTTCAAATTCAATATGCAACTTGAGGAGTTTCTAATAGGGGTGTTTGCGGTGTGGTTTGTGCAGTTTTGAAGCAAAAAATCATCTGAACCACAAGAAAAAACAATGTGGGGGTTCGATTTGGTTCGATCAGTTTTTAAAAATAAAACCGAACCAAACCAAACTAATGCGGTTTGGATTGGTTCGGTTGGTTCGATTTTTTATAAAAAAATTATTGAGTCATATATACACATATATCGTTCATACGTTAGCATAAAAAAATTTATAATTGTCAAAATACGTTTATAATTTGATACATAAAATTACGTATTATAGTTTTATCTAAATCTAAAGAATAATATACATAAGATTGCATTCTTAAATGAATATTATACAAAGAATACGATAAAATATATTTTGTGAAAATAGTGTTTATAAATGAGTAATATTTTATTTTTTATGATTTGTAAATTAAAATATATATCATATAAAGAATATGATAAAATATACACATGATATATATTGATTTCTCTAAATAATTAAAGAAATATATATTGATTAACAAGATTTTATAACATAATGCGGTTTGGTTTAGTTTGGTTCAGTTTGCAAAATATAAACTGCAAATCGAACTGAATTGCACGGTTCTGCTAGAAATGATTCTAACACATCTGATCTGACCTGATCAGAGTTGGACCGTCACAGTTGGTTTCGGGCTGGATTTGAAGGAGATGGGGGGGGGGGGGGGTACCTACAAGACACTCTGATGGCAAAGTGAGAGGCGGAATGAGCAAGCAAGTTTGGATGTAGGTGTGAATGAATACCTAACCCTCTCGAAAGAGAGGGTATTTATATCCCCCAGCGTTGGGCCAATGTCTCTTTATTGGGATGATCAAATAGGCCCAACGAAGAGACTTCCAGGTTCTACGTGAGTAGTGGGGACCTGCACGTGGCCCCCTACCTGGATGACGCCTTCCGCAAGACAGGGATGGTAAAGGCGTGATCTTTCTGGGACCATGACGACTCCGCAAAATCCGGAGATGTTGAAAGTCAGCCCTACGAGGAGGGTTCTCGGAGGGAGCACGTGCTCGTTGGGGACATTCTTCGCGAGCATCGGCAGGGAGCAATCATAGTTGACCAGATACCTATGGTCGGGGTGTGCTCGGTGGATATACTACTCAGCGCAGTAGGTTGGCAAACTTGGATTGGGCCTCACTGGTGGTTGGGCCAAGGGCAGGCCCAGTCCAGAACAGGAGCCCCCCAAGTCGTTTCTCCTGGTACGGGAGTTATGACTTGATTCAAGTTCTCCCCTTCGCGAGACTCACTTGCGCGACACAGGGGTTTTCAATCATGGACGTGAGACGTCGCCCGATTCGTGATTTTCTCCATGCAGCGGTCGAGGAGAGTTCGAGGAGCACTTGCAGGGAGGTGGTGATACACTAGTCAGACACGTGGCGTGGCTCTTGGAAACCACAATGTCGGTCTAGGGAGTAGGGTCATCATTGTCTATGCGAGTAGGCATCGAGGATGAAGGAGGTTTGTGGTTCCCCGACGCGACGTTTCATATTCCATGTCATCTCAATAAATAGGGCTTCAGGGCCCATAGGTTGTTTTTCACATCTTCACGTTCTCATATTTTCTCTGCCTTCAACACCGCGTGTTTTCCTAGTGTTGTTGAGATCGCCGCACTGTTTGTCATGTGTTCATCTCCACAACAGTTGCTCCTTACTCTTCTTCCAAGTAGGTGTTCTTTTTCTTTGATATCTCACGTTGTAGATAGATTTTGACGGTGTTTAATGGTAGAATTTCGTGTCTGGGGATTGTGCCCGAGAAATTCAAGCACTCTAGGCATCTAATTCATGATCACACCCGCGACATTCATAGGTTTAGGCATACGGTTCACGATCGTGCCTGTGATATTCATGCGTTTGGCTAATAGATTTATGAACTTGGTCGGGGGATTCATCCTTTCGTTAGTATGTAGGCTAGTTTTCCCCGTGGTATTCTTGTATCTGGATAGAAATGTTATGAACTTGGTCGTGGGATTCATCCTTTGCTCGCGATATTCATGCTATGCTCGCAACATTTATGATTGATATACGTCCGCCGTTAAGGTCGATGTTTGGTCGAGGTCCGCGTGTTCCCCATCTTTTGTACGAATGGCCGTTGACTCGGTCTGAGTGTTGCTTACTTCTCCCCGTTTGTGTGGCGGAAAAGCGAATTTGCTGTCGAATTCACCGGTTTCCTGTACTTTGCAGGTAAATGGCTAATATTCTCGAGTCCTCGGAGCGTAATGATACCGAGGAAACAAGCACTGCCGATGAAAGCATAAATCTGGTCGACACCGTCGACGACCCTACTCTGGACTGGGTTGGTGCGGAACCCCGGGGAATAGCTTCGATCTATAGCTATACCGGTAGAAAAGCTTACACTGTCATCGAGTATGGCGGCTAGGAGGGATTTCAAAGAAAATTTACGATCATGAGGCCGATGAGGGATTCCCGCATCTGCTCTGAGTTTACACAGGACGCCTTTCCCATGTACGAGGTCGTATTTAAAGATCTCGGGCTCCGGTTACCTTTCAATGACTTCCAGGTGGGAGTGTTCAATCACTTGAACCTGGCCCCCTCCCAGATTCATCCTAACACGATTGCCTTTATCCGGGCATTCAAGCTCACCTGCCGCTTCCTGAGGATCGGGGCAACGATTCCCCTATTCTTCAGGGTTTTCCACCTGCAACGGCAGTCCCGAGGAGGGAAGTATAGTTGGGTGTCCCTTAAGCAGTCGAAGAGACTGTTTAGGATATATATGGATTATGTGCGAGATTTCAAGGATAAGTGGTATATTCTGCAACTGTCTACCCAGACATCCGTGGATTCGTTGTTTGAACCAGCCGCTATGGTGGATAAGGACGGGGAGCCGTGTTTGGATGCTGAGGGTAATCCCGAGATTGGGAAATTCTCAAAGTTTCCCATCCACTGGTGTTCGGGCCATTACGACCATGGACCTGGATACTACCACACTCCTGTTGGCGGTATGAGCACTGAGGACGAGGAAGCTTATGGCGTCCTGAACAAGTTTGTCAATGGTTTCTTCCCTGCTCGGTGGGTTACGAGGGAAGGGGACGACGTTCTCGATGAGGATGGCGATTTGAAGTTTGAGGCCCGTCCGATCAACACCAAGGATCTCGTCGAATGCCAGTCTTACGGGAAGGCCGTAGCGCTCTTAGGTTTCTTGCTTTGCTCTATTGATATTTCTCTTTATTTGTTTTCTTTAATGTGGCTAACCCAAGTGCACTTCCTTTGCAGGTCACATGGCGGAGCGTCGCGAGAGGTTGCTGAAGTTGACTCAATACAAGAAGATCAGCAAGAGGTTGGTGAAGCCGCAATAAGCCACGCGAATGGGTCTGACCCCTGAGTCGGGCAGGGAAGGATCTAGTGGTTCCTCGGGTTCCCCGGACACTGAGCACTAATCTGCTTTGATTAGAAAGAAACGGATTCGACCAGATGATAAGGTCAAAGTGACCGATGAAGGGGCGGGTTCCCGGGCCTTCAGCCTGCCACCCTGTTTTGTGGAAAAGGATTTCTTCGAGGGGTTTCCCTTGTCCGTATCTGACAATGAGGCCGATATCATCAGGCGGCTCGACAAGGAAGGTCAGAGGAAACACCTCGCTGCCAGCATGGTCGGGCTGGTTAAAATGGTTGAGATGACAGTTATCTTCGCAGGCGAAGGGTCAAACTCCTTGGATCGGGTCAAGGAGCTGGAGTCGGAGAAGGCGACTCTTGTGGCCAAATCCTGCAAACTGAAGGCTGCCCTCGAACGCTCCGAGGAAATGTTTCGTGAGCAGTTCGACATGTTGTTGGGGGAGAAGGAAAGGGCCGACAGAGCTCTTGAGGAAAAAGACTGCCTTCAGCTTGATAAGGAGCGGTTGAAGAGTGACAACCAACGGTTGTCGAGAGAGGTCGAAGACCTGAAAGCTGTTATGCTTCCCGTGGAGGACGATCCTGAAGGGATGTCCGACTTAAGCACGCGTTCTGACTTTATTGCTCACATTCAACTTCTGGAGTCGGATTGTGTTGACGCTTTGGCCGATGGCTTTGAGTCTACGGTGAATCAATTGTTCGTGCTAAATCCGGGGTTGAATACCGAAGGGATTGGGGTTCTATCCCAGATTATCGATGGTCGGGTTATGCCTCCTCCTGACTCTCCAGACGTCGACATTGGTACTCCGGGGAGTGATTGATGCTTTTATTGGTGTTTGGGTCTGCGTACCCGTTGTTGTTTTTGGGGCCTGCGTGCCCGCCTTTATTCTTTTAGTTTTTTTACCGTCATACCTGGACTGTAATTTTGGACAACGCTGGCCCTTGTGGTCGGTATATTATTGATCTTTGTTTATGACTTCCTATTCGATGGATGCTTTGTTTACAGTTATCTGATAATATTTGATGTATATGCCCGACTGTTATCTTGGTAATGAATTTTTGATGAAGTTTGTGTTCGTATGGAGATATCTGTTCGACCCCTATGTCGGTTTGACGCATTTCGAAATGCGTCGAATGCGCGGAGTTGGAATCCGCGTGTCGGGCGTATGATCGCAATTGGGATCCTACGCTCGTGGCGTGAACTGCCCATCGCGAGCTGGGTGTTCTGCCATGTGGGGTACTTCGACAGTGGATCTCAATCGAGGTGTCCCTGCCGGGAATGTATGTTTGGTTCGTCGAACTGAACGACAATATGCCCTCGTTGGTTGGTAGGTCGGGTTCGTACCTCGACTCGCCTACGTGGTCGAGCTTTTCCCTTCATCGACTGAAGATTGATATTCAACGGCGAAAGTCCTTTAGCAGGTGAGGGATTTAGCTATAATATTGTTTTAGCTTCGCAGCATTCCAGGGTCGTGGTAACGGTTCTCCATTTAATTGCTCGAGATAATATGCTCTGATGCCCGTAGCTCCCTGGACGCGATAAGGTCCCTCCCAGTTTGCGGCCAATTTTCCTTCGCAGTAATCTTTCTGGTTTCTCCGCAAGACTAGGCTGCCAACCTGAAATTCACGTCTTATGACTTTTCTGTCATGGCGTAGGGCTACTTGCTGTTTTCGAGTGGCCTCGCACAGGGCTGCTCCCGATCGGATTTCTTCGACAAGGTCAAGCTCGTCTCTCAGAGCCTCATCGTTCATCTCCTCATCGAGTGGCATCTCAGTTCACCTAGATGGCTCCATGATCTCTACTGGGATGACTGCCTCGGTGCCGTAGGTCAGTCGGAATAGGGTCTCACCCATCATCGAATGGGGCGTCGTGTGATAAGCCCATAGAACGCTATGTAGTTCTTCAACCCATCCCCTCTTTGCTTCTCCTAACCTGCGCTTGAGTCCTTGCAAGATGGCCCTGTTCGCGGCCTTGGCTTTCCCGTTAGTTTGGGGATGCTCGACTGAGGTGAAATGTTGTTTGGTGCCGAGTTTGGCAACGAAGCTTTGAAAGCTTTAGTCGGTGAATTGGGTACCGTTATCTGTGACGAGCGCCTGCGGGATTCTAAACTGGGCGAGCACGTTTAGTCTGTAGATGCAGAGGATGTTGTGCAAAGTGATTTTTGCAAGGGCTTCGGCCTCTATCCACTTTGTAAAATAATCTACGACCATGATGAGGAATTTTTTTTGGTACGTCCCTTGCACGAATGGTCCGAGGATGTCCATTCCCCGCCAGGAAAATGGCCATGGGGATGATAATATGTTTAGCTCGTGTGGTAGGGTGAGGTGCATGTTGGTATGCCTTTGGCATTTGTCACACCTCTTGACATGGTCTTTGGCGTCTTGCTGCATTGTTGGCCAGTAATACCCCACTCACAACGTCTTCCTCGCTAGGGACTTGATGCCCATGTGTTGGGCATTGATCCCTTCGTGCATTTCCCGTAATATCTCGGGGACCATAGATTCTTCGATACACTTCAAGAGTGGGATGGAAAATCCCCTACGATATAGTTTATGCTCGAGTACCATGTAGGAGCACGCTCATCGTTTGGTCGCGGCTGCTTCTCTTCAGTCCAAGGGGAGTTCCCCCTTCGCTAGGAAATTGAATACCGGGGTAATCCAACACGAGATGTCTCCGATGGTGTTTACCTCGAGTAGAGTCGAGGATTTTTCGATGCTTGGGCGAGATAGCGACTCTTGTATGACGGATTTGTTTCCGCATTTATTTTTCGTGGTTGCGAGCTTCGAAAGTATATCGACTCTTATGTTTTGCTCGCGTGGTACGTGCGAAATTTCTGCCCGGTCGAACCTTTTCATATGCTCTCTGACCAAGTTCAAATATTCGATGAGGCTGTTGTTATTAGCCTATTATTCCCCTTGGACTTGGGACGCAATGAGTTGAGAGTCGGTGAAGATTTGTATCTCACGGGTGCCTAAATCCTCAGCCAGTCTTAGACCTGCGAGCAGGGTCTCGTATTCCGCCTGGTTGTTCGAGATGGGAAAGGAGAGGGTGAGCAAATGCTCGACTACCACGCCTTCCTCATTCTCTAGGAGGATTCCCTCACCGCTCCCGGTAGAGCTGAAAGCTCCGTCGACGAAGATGATCCACTTGTGCTCTTTCCTTGCGGGGGTTATGAGCGATCATCTCAACGATGAAATCAGCCACAACTTGTGCCTTTAGGTCCTTCCTGATTTTGTATTGGACGTCGAATTCAAAAAGTTCCAAGGACCACTTTAACATTCGACCCGCCATGTCCGGTCGACCTAGGAGTTGTTTCACGGGCTGGTCCGTTCACACCATGATCGTGTGCGCGAGGAAATAGTGTCTGAGCCTTCTTGCTGCATTGACGAGGGGCAGAGCCACCTTTTCTATATGTTGGTATCTAACCTCGGGCCCTTGAAGCGCCTTGCTCGTTGTTGTACCCCAAAATTTGCCCTCTCATTCTTCAAGTCCTTTCTCACAAGGATTCTCAAGGTTCAAGCTTGCACAAGTACTTTGGAATTTTCCAGTACCAAAATTAAAAGGAAACTGTCAAAAAGGGAGAAAATAGATAAAAATATTATTTTGACAAAAATTGGAGAAATACAAGTGTTCTTCGTTTCAGCTCTTTCGATTGGCCTTTAGGCCTCTTTCGATCAGCATCCTTCGATTGACTCTTGGCCTCCTTCGATTGCTCAAAATGGATGCTAGTGTGCCTCTTTTGCCTGGGCATGTGACTTCTTATTGCAGGTTTCGTTTGTGTCTTTTGCTTCCTGTATGCTTGCAATCGAAGGCTATGACCTACTGGTCACATGTACCCCCTGCAATGCAAGTCTTCGTTTGGGCACTCACCTTCTGTGTTCCTGGATGAAAACTTCAGTTGAGCAAGAGCCTCCTTCGAATGCAACTTGGATTACATCCTTCGTTTTTAGCAAAAGCCTCCTTCGAATGCAACTTGGGAATACCCTTCGACTCAGAAGCCAGGAACCTCCCTCAC